TGCCGACACGGCTTTCTTCCAAGCTGTTCAGGAAGGGATGGTCTAGGAGATCATCCCCGCATGGGTCGCGTTGCAATTTCCACGATTACCAGACATCTTGCAACAGGTTAGAAATATATCCCTCAACCGCGGTGAGAGCGAGTTGCAGATGTTGCAACGGCTGCACTCCATGTGCGTTGAGCGCACGTCAAAAGGGGAATTGGTGAATCTCGAGGACGTGAAGAGGCGGGGTTTGGCAAGCAAGCCAGCTTTTGCTACAAGCTTGCCAGACATGTGGACCTTTGTCATAAGGTACTCAAGAGGTACCAAAGCAAATATGATGCAAGAAACCCAGCAGTTCGTGATGACGAACACCAAATCAATTCAGTTAGGCGCTCCTTTGTGGAAGGCATTGGTCGAGGATTCCAAGATTGCCTCCAACCCGCTTGTGAGATGGCGACATGCCGCAAGGCTATTTCCACGGGCTGAAAGCATCGAATGTGAAAAGGTCATTCAGCAAGGAGATGGTGCACAGGGTGTCAGAAGTCAATGCCCTCATGTTGGAAGTCAGGCTGCTCCGCAAGAACTTTAGAGACTCCTATGTGTACGACCAGAAGTGCTGCACAGCAATCGTTTTTTTTTTAAATGGCCGTTGTCCAATTTGTCCTCGGTCTCAAGTAACCAGATCAAAAGGTGTATAGGAGCACCGATGCCATTACGAACGATATCATCAAGCTCCTCAGAACCTTAACTGGCCATGAGATTGCAAATCGATGGTCCGCGGAGGATTTGGATAATGTTTTGGAGTCTATAGCTTTTCTGCTTACATGAATTTTCATGGATATTTCAAACATGTGCATTCACGCATCGTCACGTAATATATAGACAACAGATCCAGGTAGCTTCCAGCCCCAACCAGCCGACAATGAGTCTCCGTGAGCTTGGAGAAAATGGGCAACTCATAGACCCCTACAGTGGTGGTGAAAGAAGTTGGTTAGGCTGTAGGGCAATCTTGCAGACGAGCGAAAGACAAGCTTACGGGCATCATTGCAGAGATCACCCATGAGATTGACAAGGTTGATTGTGGCAAAGGCCTACTGAGCAAGGTGCCTTTGTCTAAGTTTAAAACCGACTTGTAGCAACATTTCACTCCAAAGAATTTGCCTTCCGTAATTGACTTCAAAGAAGAATGGCTGCCACACCAGTCACTTGATTTTCAATTGCACCGATTGAAAGCCATGATCATGGAAGAGCTCTTTAATCTATCCGAATCTCAGACTTCGAAAAGCTCCATAAAGAATTTGCAGATCCAAACAAAGCCATCGAAGGCACTGTTGAAGGCACTGTTAGCAAAGGAGAAGATTTTGACCAAGAAGCTAATCCTTGTGCCATCGACTGTCAAGATCCAAGCCAAGCACAAGCATAACAAGAAAGAGACCTATGAAGTGCTCCAAACCGTGATGCCATCCAGTCTCCTCCCTCTTTAGCTTACCAAGGCTGGGTAAGGCGAAGCTTCTTGTCGGCCGGCGCCTTGTCACCAAAGGAAGGTTTCTGCTTAGAAATCTGCTGGATCTCTTCGTCCAAGCTCATGGCGGCCTCCAACATTTTCGGAAGTACGAGGTAGTTGAGCTTAGTCATGTCAACTTCGACCCGACACTTCGAGTCGAATTTCTCAAACCTGTCCTTGCTAAGGTCGTCTACCGGCTCGTTTTGCTCTCTAGGAATCCAAACCAGGTTAAGGTCCAAGTCATAAAGTTCAAGCTGCTTAGAAAGTTCCATGAGCACCAACGACGCTGGGAACTTAGTCGTGAGATATTTGTCCAACAAATAGGCGTTCGAGATGTTGTCTGTAAACCCCGTTACCGCCACTCTGCCAGCTCCTCTGCGCCACTTTCCTACTGGGCCAAAAACTATGACCGCCAACGTGACAGCCAGGAGCTCGGCGCTAGCGATCGTCTTGAAGGGCTCCCCCTTAACGCGCAAGTAAGGAGCCGTAGTCTTATTCAACTTCACTGAAAACCATCATGCCCTCAAAGGGTCAGTGGTGTGGAAAGTTTCCCAGCCCCCAACGACCACACCCTCCAGGTCGGCCATAGCGTCCACACGGAACAACTCGCCTAACACCGACGGCCACGAGGACAACGGTCTCATGGGCCGATCACCAATGGATTCCTCGAAAAACTTAATGGCCAACTTGGTTAAGAGGTGCAGCTCGAAAAACGATCCTCCCCGCGCCCGCGATGAGGATGCATAGAGAGGCGCCAAGAACGGTCTTGCCCTTTTTGCAATGCCGGCCAGGAAACCAGCCGTCCAAGACCTTGAAGTCTCGGCCCAACATGTGCCCCTAGCAAACCGCCCATTTGGACCACTCCTTCAACCAACTCATCTTTCTTTCGCTGATGCCTAACTTCCAATTGGTGATGTCCCCCGTATAACCTATCCACTCCACCTTAGTCCCTCCCCTGGCCTTTCCCAGGACAGTGGGACCTCCAAGATCTCGAGATAGTTCTCGAGATAAAAGAGCAGGGCCAGGAGAACCTTCTGGTAGGCCTCACCGCTCGTGAAGACCGAGCCGTCATCGGCAAAAAGGAGGTAGAAGGGGGAGTTGGCGCGAATCACCTTGCGTAAGAACCTAAAGATGACCCCAGCCACGCGGCCCCACCAAAAGGCGGCTGTGGCCACCCCGAACGTGCCCCGGCAGTTGACGTAAACCTCCTGCTCATCCACCTGGTGCAAAGTGCGCCTCTTCGTGCGCCCAACCACGGACAAGATGTTTGTCCAAATCTCCTCACTGTCCATGAGCCCGTCCTCCTGCTCCTCCTCTGAGAAGAGCTCCGTTGGCGAATCCCCCAACGGCGGTGGAGTCGATCGGATCACCTCCATCCCCTCATTCTCCGACAGCGGTTGGAGCCTTGGCCTCTCCTCCCAACTGCCCCAACCGGGCGGCGCCAGCCGTCTTGCCTCCTCATTGGCCTCTGATGCTGTCTTGTGGTGGACTCACTGAAGCCACAGGGCGAAGGTATTGAGGATGCCCTGGTCGTCGACGACATCCTTCACCCCGTATTGCTCCCGGATGTAGCCAGCGATCTTCCTCTGTGCTGCAAAGATCAGCTGCCTCGTCGTGGTGACGTAGTCCTCGTCCACCGAGGGGGACCACCGACCCCACCGCTTTCTGGTCTCCTTGTCAATCCCGCAGGCAGATGCCCAGCTGATGATTGTCACTCGCTCGGAGTGCTCTGACCAGAACGAGCTCGACGCTGGTTCCATCAGCCGCTCATAGTTCCCGAACTCATTCTTCCTCTGCGCCAAGAGCTCCGTGAAGAGCGTCCGTAAGAACACCATGGCGTCAGGGTACCTCATCATAGTCTTCCGAAAGGACTGAAGGTCCACCGTGGGCAGACACATATGAGGAAGTCCCTTGCCGCGAACCTCTGGTCGTCGTCCATGCTCTTGTAGATGCGCAGGCCCTCCACCAACCAGCCTCGGTAAGAGAGCCAAGCTTGAGAGTAAATGAACAGGTGAACCACTTCCACTTTGCGTCCTGCCCCCGTGGTTTTGGTGCGCATAATCTGAGCTTCCAGTCCGTGGGGCTCCTCGTACTTGATCGTTGAGGGAGGGATGGCCTCGGTGTCGTGACTCCTGAGGGCACCCCAACGTTTTATCAACTTATACCATGCCATGACCCTCTTGAACTTCTCCTTGTCCTTGTCCATGATGATGTGTTCGAGCGCCAACACCATCTCCACCGTCCACCTGGCAGCCTTGGTCTTGGTCTTGGACTGCCAAACATCGGATCGTTCGATCTCCATCAAAAAATGCTGGAGGGCCACGCTTCCCGAGATTCTCCTATCTGGCGATACCTCGGCCGAAGTTTCGAGAAACACGAGGGCCTTGAACAAAGAGCTCGGCGCAGATTTGCCGCAAGGGCGAGATCTACTGCAATTTACAATAGGACAGCGCCGCAGCCGACCACAGCCGACCACGCAACCACCAGACCCTCTAAGTGGTCTCTGTGTGTGTTGTCTCGGTGTGTGTTGTCTCTGTGTGTGTTGTCTCGGTGTGCGTTGTTTCGGTGTGTGTTGTCTCTTGGAGGAGCGGGAGGCGGGAGGCGGGCAGCGGGAGAAGCGGGATGAGACATAGAAAAGAAGAACCCCACACTAAGATGTGGGGAAAAACGAAAATGTTTTCAGAGGCCTGTCCTCTGTGGGAGGGTTCAGTCAAGACTCTCTAAACTATGTTTTTGTTTTTTGATTTGTTGTTTTCATGTTCTTGTTTTATTTGGACATATTTTGTCAATTTGTCCGAAACTCCTGCTGGATGCAACTGTTATACAGCCGTTTTTTTTGGCAGCGCAGTTTTCTTGACAAATGTTGACTCAAAAGAACACAATTTTGCAAGAAAACTGCAATGCCAGGAGCGCCCATTATGTTAAAATATTGAAATGAAAAAAAAAAAACAAATGTAATCCTTACTCCTCCGTGTACTTCTTCAAAACATTTTTAAAGCTCTTACCAACCCAAACATGTTTTCAAATATTCAAAGACCGACCGAACAAAATAGAAAAAGTAAAAATATAATATATATATATCAAATTTAAAAACCTATGAAAGATAAATATATACCAAAAATTAAAAAATCTCGAAACATCAAAAAATAGCAAATATAAAGAATTTACATCAGTTTATTAGTATATAAAATCATCCAGTATTATCGAAAGACGTTGTACATTTATATCAATATCCACATCCATTAACTCACCAATTTACATTAGTTTCCATCACATCAGTTCAATTGCTTCCGATCAAGTCAAAAACTGTTAATATATGATTGTCAACAAATCAATCGACAATCCTAGAAATATATTTTTTAGACTTTCAGAAAAACTGTTTAGTTTATGTTTGTCAATATCACTCTAAATACTTATATGTATACATGAAGAAGAACATAAATAGTATAGAGTCCTATACATTTAGGTCTATATGCGTTTATTTTAGAATTATTGGCTTCCAATTTTGATACATTTTTCGACCGACTCAAATCCAATATTCCAGATTCAGAAAGAGGATCTCCCATTGAGATTTGAGAACCATCTGGCACCAAAAGGCGTTCGAGCCTAGTACATCAATGCAATCACGCAAAACCGGCATTGAAGGTGCAAAAGCCAAAGCCATACAAGCGAACTCTCAGATTGGGGCTCGCTAGCTTGCGTTTGACTACCACTGGCACCTCACGCTGCAAAAACTCTTCCGCGCGCAGCACATCTTGCCACTCAAGTTACGGAACGCCTTCAGCCCCCACAAGTAGCGACGCAGTGCCTCTTGCTGAACGTGATGGTCTTGCAGCAAGCGCTGCACGTGTCACATCGCTTGATGCTTGCTTATCGTTGACCTGGCCTCGTGCAAAGACTTCGTCTTCACGCCCAAGTTTCAGAAAATTGTCCGTCACCCAAAGCTGGAAAGCGTTCATCACGGCCTTCCGGCGGCACTTCTATAGAAAAGAACCGCAAGTTTGCAAAGCATCTGTGCGCTGCCACCCAGGCAAGCCAAGGAGGCCACAGGCGTGACAATCATCACGACTAGCAGTTTCAGCCTGAGTAAGCTTTGGGCACTTTCGGCGAGTAAAAGAACATCACGCTCTTCGAACTTGAGCCTGTTCAGTTTTTTGACTCAACGCAGCGTTGACCAAAAACTCCTTCGAGGCCGCGCGGGGTTGGTGATAAAAAGCGGAACAGCTCAAATTTTGCGTGTAATAAGTTTGAAGCGCTGCATTGAGCATCTTAAATCAAAACTAGGTGTCCCGCAAGGGGTTCATGAAAGGTTTGAGGCACTCTCGCGCTGCGAGGGTCAAAGGCTTTGCCAGCAAAACCATGAGAACTACCTTGGAGTTGGTTTCCACGCTTCGTCTGGCAAACATTGGTCAGCCACTGGGTTGGGCACCATGAAAAGCTTCATGAAAGTCACAATCGTGAGCCACATGCCAAGTTGTTTGGCGTACATTATCGCCTGCGCGCCAGAGAAAGCACATCAACGGCTTCCATGATTCTAACAAGAGGAACCTTTGAATATCTGGCCACCCGACAACCCTAATGCCGAAAACTCTGCAACCGCAAACGCGTTCTCACACACCCTGCTTTTTGGCTCTCCTTCCCCGACTCGCATCGGGTTGACGTTCAGGGGCGAGAAGTACGTTCTAGGGCGGCAATGGCCTTTTCCAGGTCGCTGAGTCCGACGCGGGCGCAGGAGCCACCACACGACCTTCTTCAGGAAACGCCGGCTTGTCGGCACTTATTGTGAGTTAATAAGAACCCTCCGCCGAGGACAGCTGCCAGCCCAAATACGCCATCTTGCGCCCAATCTGTAGCTTGTTCCACGAAAGTGGCGCGCCGAGGATTTGAGCCAAAGCTAACGCACGAGCGACCATGAAACGGTAGCCCTCCACCTGAACCCCAGCCAAGGACGCTCGTTCCGCTTAAAATGAAATGAAACAACTGCAGGAGGAGGGTCAATACCCCGACCACGAGGCCCCGAAAGTTATCAAGTACATTTATGTACTGATTTCCCTGGTCTCAGGCCTCTCTCCTCAGGCAACGTGGCAATGGACTTTTGGACTCAAAAGTGAGCAGTTGGCCCCGACCCAGCCCAATGTGAATGACGTTCCAGTGCCTCGCTGCAATTCTGTATTCCAGCTCGTTCCGCAAATTGCGGTGCAGGACAGGCGCCCAAGGCGCCCGAGTCCCCTGGCCGCACGACCGCGCCAAGCTTGCCGAGCACATCCGGCGCAAACGTTTTAGTTCTGCCAAGCCGCCAAGAACCAGAGCGCGCTTCCCTGACATATTCCGTTCCTTATAACCCCTGGTCAGCAGAAGCAAGGTTGCCGGTAAAAAGGGAAAGGTCTGCTTCACCGTCCTCGATCCGGACATGACTCGCGCAAAGACTTTGCAAACCCCAGACGCGGGGACGGGCGAGCGCACTCCTGTAGGTGAGCCTTCTTTGAAAACCTGCGTCCACATTGCAGGGCAGCGGCTAAACCCGTGTGATCAAAAGTGGAAGCAGCCCAACCGCGCACGGGTGCCTCAGCAAACGCAACCGCTCGCAAGTGTCTGCTGGCACTAGCGCGTCTTACACACGCCAAGCGGCCAAGCGGCCTCTCAACGCCGCAGGCGGAGGGGTTTGCCAGTCCAACGCGCTGGTCACGCCACCCCCATCTTTACGGTATGCAGCGCACTGCTCCGCAGTCGCGTCCGCAGCCACAAGGCTCGAGGCTTCACATGTTCGGCGTGGCCCCGCGCCCGCACTGCCCGCAAAACCACAGTGACTGGACGCCACTGCCAACTGTTTGCGTCTGCAGGTCGGCGCGCCGACACGTCAAGATCGAAGAATATCGCCACGCCTTTCCTGCCACGCGCGGTTTCTGTGAAGGCTTCCGGCCATTCAGCTGCCATAGTCCAGCACGAAGGCAAAAAGCACAACAAGTCAAAAATCGAAACCCAGGGTAAACTGCGCCAAATCCACGCGCCCGCGACCAAGTCACGCCCGACCGAATCCGACCGATCTGACCGGCGAAAGTGGTGAATTTTGCAAATCGGCCAAAACTCGCGCTACTTGGGCCACGCTACGTAACATAGGTAGATCCAAACCCGGCCCTACTTGGGCACAGCTGCGTCCACCTGCGTGGCAGCAATAGTAACTTCGATGTTGCGTATCGCGCGCAACATTCATTGTCATACTTGGGCCGAGCTACGCAACGCATGTAGCTCCCACCTACACCGAGCCCTACTTGGGCTGAGCTACGCGAGCAAGTTCTGTGTCTGCCTTTCGCGCAAGAACCCTTTGCCCAAGTTGCAAGATTGCGGCGCTTTCTCAAGCCAGGGCGCCAGCAGCACCAACCACTTTGAAACAACCTGTTGCAGTTCTTGCTCGCCCCGTCCAGTCTGACGCTGGCGCGACCTGCAAGCGCTTGGATCTGCGGCCATTGCGCCCGCACATGGTGTCGGAGCATTGGATGGAGCTGAAGAAGGCCCGGCCCGCTACACAGTGAAATGCATCGCGACGCGTGGTTTGCATCCAGGGGGCCTTTGCAAGCCAGATGTAAAGGAAACAGCTGCGTTGCCTCTCTAAATGTAGGAGGGGGAACGGAGGTTCCACTTGCCCCAGCCGCTTGTACTGGCCTATCGGGTCCGGCCCGACGGGCGAGGGCCACACTCCCACATAGCAAAGCAAAGGCGAGTTCAATATCAACTCACGGCGTTGAACAAACCCAAAGGCGACAATGCTTCAAACCCTCACGACCTGAGGAGAACATATGTGCATGTGCGGTGCCCTGATCTAGAAAAAGTGGTTGCGCAACCGCTAGCTCAAACACACTGCGCTTCTGACCAATATGCTTTGCGTTCGCGCCCACGGGTTGTGGAAGGGCTGCTTGGCCGGACTGCAATCTCAGCATCGGTGGCATGGACTACTGGTGCATGAGTGCATGATAATTTGATGCTCCAAAGCACAAGGGATTCCTTTTCTGCTTCTTTCCACTTGTCCTGACTCTCTGCCAGGCAGAACGATGGCCTGGGGCCTGGGGTGCGTCTGCCAGCTTGTCTCTCACATCCTCGTTTGCATCACCCTTCTTGAGGTCCACGCCGGTGTTGTCATGCGATGCCCCTTTCACGGGGTCATCCTCGGGGCGTGCCACCACCATGGGGGTGCGGAGCAACATGTTCACCTGTTCCTTCCAAGTTCACATGGCAGCATAAATTAGCGCCGGACGAAATCTGTTATCATCTGTTATCTAGCCACGGCCTTAAGACATGGTCATTGCCGTGTGTGTGTGTTCCTGTTCTGCGCCCCATGCACCGGTTCAAGCTTCCGGCGCCAGGGGCAGTGAGACATGTGGTGGGAAGCCAAGCATCCCCGTTTACCCTGCTTCCTCTCTTCCACATACGGAGCGGCGCCCTTACATCGTTCTGACTACGTTGTATGGACTTGCTCTGTCCCCGTCATGTGTGCTCATGCAAATGTAACGCGACTGACGCTCAAGCGTCGGCTTGTCTGAGACGCTGTGGCGTGGTGGACAAACGGCAGGGCTACTCTCAACGCCAGGCAATGCGCGCTGTAGCTTTCTAAAGGGGTTAAGAAGACCCGCACGCCCTACGCCCAGCAAGGCAGACTGCAATGGTTCCGCAAAAGCTGTTAGACAGCCAAAGGCCAGCAGCAGCGCTTGCTATTGGAAACTACAACTTCTCTCAATTCAGCTGCGCACAAGGCCAACTGGTGTGAGCAACTCAAGCTGAGAAGGGCGACATACTCAGTGCTTGCGCCAGTTGCAACTGTAGCTAGCGCGCCAGCGCGCTTCCTCAAGTAGTTGGTACATCAAAAGGGCATCGGTCCCCATCGGCTAATTATGTAGGTTTGATGCAGGTTTCTAGTATCCCAAGACCACCCTGTGACTACTTTTGAAATGATTCTGGCTGCATCCCCGCAGCCGGCTGTTGCTGTATGGTATGCTCTGCTGTCACGGATCACCCCGAGCTTCCTAAAACCACAGAGAAGGAAAGCGGTCTGGACATGGAAAGGTCTGTGCCAAGTTGCCCCTACATAGGCACGCCTTGGGCCTCAAGACTTATATTCCCTCGAACTGGCAAGTGTACCCGTGAGGCGCGTGGCGTGGCTCTTTTCTTCTCTGAGCTAGTGGCTAGCGGCAATGCTATGACTCTAGGCTCGAGTGGCTCCAAGAATCAGGGGTTTAATTTGCTGAAACGTATGGGACACTTACTTCCATCCGGTCCAACACTTCCATCCGGTCCAACAATCCACTGTTCAAGAGAAGGTCAAGACCCACCTCAACAAATGAACCGGGCAATCAAAACCCTTGAACTTGTGGATCTAAATGCACCGATAGGGCCCAAAACGGGGGCCCAAAACGGAGCTGAAGAAAGGGATCGCTTCGGCCTGGAACTCCCTGCCACGCCAGTAGCTACCTGTTCGAAAGTCCTGGCCCCGACGTTCACCTTCTTTTAAGCTCGGGGGGGGCAGGAAGAGGCTACTAGATACTACAAGCAACGCACTTAAGTCAACCCACGTGGTGTGAAGTCAACCCACGTCGCGTGAGGTCAACTCACTGCATGGGCACGAGGTTCAGCGAGAAGTCAACTCACGCGCGTGAAGCGACTCATTTTGGTCAAGCCACAACGGGCACACTTGAAAAATGAGCACGGCATGAAAATGATATGTTCAAGGAAAACTGTGTGCACACTGTGTTGTGGCTGGCATTTTTGCCTTGGCCTTGCTTGCTAAGATGTTTCAAGCCCAAATCCACCAATGCACAACTTAGAGAACAGCTAGGTTGCAAGCGCACACACAAGTGACATGCAGCCCTCTGCGCGAGCCCCGTGCGACCCCGCGCGAGGTTCGCGCGAGCAGGACTCCTACTCCTCCTACAGCTTCCTACGGTCAACGAAAACACTTAGACCCAAACGCGAAAGTCCTTGCAAAGCAGCTGTGGCAAGCAAATCACACTGTGACACCAGCTGGGCCCGAAGATCCTTGCAGTTGTGGCATGGGCCCAGGAGCTTTACATCAAAACTGTCACAAATCCCCTGTGGAAGCTGCCCTCCCCCAAAGAACAGGTTCATAAATACAAACGAGTGACAATCAGGCACACCATGGGCGCAACACACAACATGTGCTCTAGATCAATACAATCTATGCTTAGGCATCCCTGTGGAGTGCAGTTCTGCAAGGGCACACGGTTCCGAGTCGACTTTACACAAGCTGAGTCGACTTAACGCTAGTACCTAGTAGGATGCTACTACCTAGGACGCAGGATAGCTCACGCTCGCACTAATGATTTGGTCTAGATCTTCAGGGAAACTTAACGGGGGATGATCGGATAGGTGGTCGTAGCGTAAGTAGCTAGAAGCTAGAAGTAAGAGGTATAGTAATTATTAAGCTTACGTAGATGCTAGTAGCATGCTATGACAGCTATGATGGATGCAGGAATGCTCATGCTTGTATTCATGTGAGCCCTCCGTCCTCGGCACTTTCCAGAAGATTGTTAAGGGCATCTGCGACAACTCGTAGCAATAAGTACTCGACCAAAACCTGCCAAACAAAATACGGAGTACGCACTCTCATCAACAGTGTTTTCACTGTTTCCTTCAAGTCTGACTTGGCTGGTTGAGCACAGGCTGACCCCGAGCGTCGTGTCAAGCATTATGTTCAGCCAGTACCTGCCAATAATGTAAGGGCGCTGATGATGCCACCAATTCTATCATTATCGCTGCACACCCGAACCAACACAAATGAAATGCTTACTTGCGTGCGACAGGCACCATTCACACTCATCACCGTCACCCATCTGGCTCCCGAGTATTTCCGCACACCTAAGAACTCACACCAAGGCAGCTACAAAACCAGCTGCGCATGACTCGTGCTGCAGCCAAGCTGCAGGAGATTTAGCACGTGAACCCATCCTGAGCGTGCACACTCTGGCTTACTGAGAAAGTTTGCTTAGTCAGCGCTGCAAGCCTGCTCCGATGAATTGCTTGGAGGAATCCAAGCCAAACTGGAACCAAGTTCTTTCCCCCTCACAGACCTGGCTGCAATCTCTCAGACTCTTGTGGATGATAGGTGGCCAGTGATATTGGCGTCTTCTGCCTTCTTCGCAACCAATGTGCCCACACAGCAGCCAAACAGCAAAAGCTGCACCTTGGTAAGAGCGAAGCTACAAACATGCGAACATTATCTTGGATGAAAGAGCTGCTTGAAAAGCAGAATAGGGAGCTCCCAAGAACCAAGACCCAAACCAGCAAACCTTGAAGGCCCGGAAGCACCACACACGGCTTCATACACTGCCGTGAGGATCATTGACATATATATATATATATAATATAACATAATAATATAACATATATATATATATACCATGCATATACACTGTACACAATTTGGCACTCGTACAAACATTATGTCAGCATGGATGGTTCTGCCGCGGGCGCCTTTAGTGGTCAAAGTCTTCCCCCGAAACCTTTGCTGTATACTGCGCTCAGCCTCCATTATTTTCTTGCCATGCGTGCCAGTGCACATGCTCAATAAAGCTCGGTGCTCGCTATGTATTACTTGTACTTCTGACAACAACTTCAAAACTTCTAAAGCTACTATTAATATAAGTCTGGTGCTCTGAATGTTGCACGCTGGCTTTGTCAAGTCTAGCAATAACTTATTTCACGCATGAAACCGAAGGCAACAAATGGTTGAGATGCATGGCTGGCAACCAGTTTCCACAGTCGACTTGGCTTCGATGCTCATCTCCTCACTTTTCCAGCTTGCCAAAGGCTAGGCTATGCCCAGACTCGTTCAGGAATGTGTCAGCTCTGGCATTTATGTACAAAGGTTGCTGCGCTCAATAGTCGTTGAAGAAGTTCCTATAAAAGTAGACCTTGCAAACAATGTGTGTTGCCCGTGTGGTGTTCTGGGAGCTTGACTTGCTGCATTAACTGGATGCATGAACGCATCCACGATGCACATTCTGGTGCGTCATCTCGTGCTAAGATGGCCCTTTGCTCAGCATCTTGTAGCAAGTACCGAGCCTGGCACCAAGATTGAAGCGATTCACAGTGTCTCTGTGTTTGCTGATGTCTTTTGCACCTCTGCTGCCGTGATCTTCAACTCGGCGGAGACCCGGAACGCAGAAAGCGGCGCCTCCTGCAAGGGCGAGAGGAAAGATGTTATTGGTCCAGAGTTATGGCTATACCCTAAGTGCAAACGCGCATGATCTCCCTGAAGCTGAAAGTCCTCCAACATTTTCATGAGGGGTGCATCCATCTCGGCATCGCTGGTCCTTGAGAGTTGAGAAAAACATCGCGTCAACAAATCAAACGAACTTAACTTGCAAATGCTTAGGGTCTTACAGTGGTATTCGCATGCACTCAACAAGCCATGCCACTTCGAGTCTGTGTTTGCTGAGTTACAGTAAATCCTCCAAACACTTAACTGCTTTTCCACCTCGCAGCATCATTCGCGCAGCATCGTGTTTGTGGGCACGCTTTCAATTCAGGGGATTGTAAACCCCGCACCATCGAGAGCCACATAACATACAGCATAGACTTTGCAGTAACACCGAAAAGGTCTCTACTGATTTTACTGCGGGCTTCACGTTTGAGCTCTGCGGCCTTAGTTGGGGCATAACAAAAACATGCCCCATCCCGTCCACAGCACGTGCGTGTGATTGCGTGTGTGTGTGTGTGCCCCTTGAAGTCACAGGGATCCGGTCGGATTGTGCTGATTTTGAGTTTTTCGGCAGGGAGGACCATCCATGTACTGTGCGCGATGGTCCAACGAAGCGGCCACAGTACATGCGGATATCACGGCTGATCACCGTGACGTACCTGCTTTGAGATGAACCTACGTAAGTGCCAAGCTGTCTCATTCTTTGTTGTGCAGTAAGCGTCTAATGCAGCGGCAAGTGCCTCGGAATTTTCATGAGCTTGAGACCTGAACTTTGTTTCGAGAGCTTTGGAGGCCTTTGCAGGTTTGAGGATGGCTCGCTTTGCACATACTCCCCCTGGCTTCTTAGGTTTTTCACTTAGGCCGGCGTGTGGCACCGCATTCACGTCAGTACGCATTTCTATAAGTGTGTGTGTGCTCTCATGTGCGTGTGCATCAAAGTGGTGAAGAAGCTCGCAACAGGACCTTCAAGGTAGCAGTGGAGGAACTCAATAGCCCTCTTTGTAATTTCTAGCCAAGCATGAACTGTCAATTGTAGCGTACCTCCCCTGGACTGGACCCCCCCTTGGAAACTGAGGCACAGAACTTGTTCACGCAACATTGGCTCAGCACTGAAAAGCAGTGCTCATTGCATCATCTCGATCTTATTTGTAAGGATACATTTGGGTAGTTCAAGGAACTTCGCTCAGTGATTGTAAAGTCAGAAGTGCGTAGTATTCAACACACTCCGACCAAATTTTTGGTACAAGTTTTATCTAGTTTTCGTACTTGGCAATGGCATCGGCTGACAAGTTCCAGCGGCGCTCTTCGGCTAAATGAAGCTTAAATGTAAAAGTAACGAGTGTAAAAGATAAGACGGGAATCAGGAGGCTTTAAAAACAGATGAGGATTTGGAGAATAGAACAAATTAAGTCCAGATCAGATCATTTGCCCAGGTTTTGTGAAGCTACCAGACGAAAGATGCCTTGGATTGTACGTCTTGAGCCACGGCGAGCAGAGTCACTGGGCCGTTGTAGACTTCCTGCAGCTGGTCTTCAAAACAAAGAGGAGAGGGAAACTGTATGAATACGGTCGGGAGTCTAATCTAAATTAAGTATATCTTTTCTATGGTGGTGACAAAAAGAGATTAGCACGGGAACTTTTTTTGGAATCAGTGAGACAGCCGTTGCCCTCGACCTCTAAATTAATTAAATTAAAAAGAACTTGACTGACTGAGGACAAGCGTTCTGAAATGCAAGATGAGCATAGGGCTCTATGGCCAGGTTTTCCCATTCCAGATGGGGTTGCGAACAGCAAGCACTCATGTACGTGGACTGCATTCCCTTCTGACATGGATGCAGAGATGTACTGGGGAAGTGAAATGGCAAAACCCACCTCCATCATGATGTCTTACTTGTGTATGGGCATCCGTAACCCACGGAGAATGAAGGAGGACAAGTTGCACGCCATTGAGTCATTGAAGCAGTTGTCGGTAGCTCTTTGCACTTCCGTCGGCAAGGTCGAGTTGAAGATTAGGGGGCTTGGATGTCGATACGACGAGACGTTTTCAGTGGATTGCACAGGCAAAGTTTCTGGTGGACCGACAAGTGTGATGAGTGTTGAGATGGCGGAGTCACTTGAAACCTTTTGGAACCAGTGTCGCAATTCAACTGGTTTCCCATACTTAGAGTCAGTACTGGAAGACGTTCACATTTGGGAGATTTTGGCATTCTGTTTTGACCCATCAGTGAGACAAAGTGGTATGCTTGGTGCCTTTGTGGAGGCATCCTTGTCGAGCTTTGGGTTTCAACTCTTTAGTGAGTGGGCAAACAAACAGGACTGTCACGCTCGCCAAATGTGTCACCATGACCTCAAGAGTCTCAAAGAGTTGCACACAGATAAGAACCAAACTGCTCATAAGCGTGCGGTTATGTCACTACACCTTCTGTCAGCTCTTCGATTCTGGCATTCTTCGCACGAAATCTGACTGGACCTAGTAACGGTTATATTTGCATTTTTTGTGTTCCATAGTTACTGTACTGGTTGTTACGCTCAGCTCACTGTCACAGTCTCTCTCTCTCACTCGTTTACTCACTGCCTCCGATTCCAATCAATTGTTTGCCAAGGATCTGGATGAGGCTCAGGGGGAAGTATCAAGTGATGGTTCGGAAGAGTGGTTGGAGCCCAACCATGAGTATGTAGTCACCAGGGCTTTGAAGAATGACGGGGTTATGGAATCTTCACGCACTCAATTTGAAATGCGATGCTGTGTAGTCTGACAGCAATCAATCATGTTTTGCATTTAAGAAACGGCTTCCGTTTGGTGTTCATTTGCAGCTGTGGCTATTCAGCAGACATACCAATTCATTGCCTCAGGTAGTGTACTGGCTTCGTGCACAAGCAGATCTCTTGAAATCCAACGTGCTCACGGTAGGGTGACCCAGATCAGATCGTCTGCAAGGGTTAGACGGTTAGTCGCTACGTGACTCGTCTAATGTTCATTCAGTACAGTCGAACATTTCCAGAGTCTGAGAATGAATTGTCAGTAAACTGGTAAGCTGCCCAGGTCTACATCGATGGCAGCAGCTTGGGGAAGACCAAGGTGGAGCTCTTCTGGCTGTTCGACAACATCAACCAGCGTGGGTGCTATGGCCCGCCCATTGTCTGGAACCCTGGAGGGATGTTCTAGTCATTTAGTGCCGCGATCATTTGATTTGATGGCCATGCCGTGAGTAACTTAATTAGTGAGCCATGCTTCATTTGATTCCATTATTGAGAGTCCTTTTGCTGGCATGTGGAACTGATTACATTGTCCGCACCATGCTCAAGTTGTCAAACTCAGAAGTTTGGCCAGGATGGACTCTGAATTTGAGTCTAGTTTCACCATGCAATCATATGCCAGTGACAGCGATGGCATTGGCCCCAGCCAGTCGACTGCAGTGAGCAGCTGCTCAGCATTTCCGCTGGAGGAAATAGGGGAAAGGGCTCAGAAGGTTGTTTCAATTGAGGGGCGTAGATAACAAGTTTAGGGGAAAGAGCTGTCTTTGCAACCGCATGTTAGTCTTAGTGTTCATCAGGACCTATCGCGCGATGAGTCCAGGCTTGCGAGATCTGGTCGGGCAATTCAAGTGGCGTGGTATGTCATCACCAAGAACGTGGACATCAAAGTTTGGGAGGAGAGCCTGGCCAAATTTCATGTCACGATGTGCGCCTTTTACAATTTGTGTCTTGTTTATTTTCATTTTTAAGTAAAGTTCAGGCAATGAATGATGCCTGATCACGCCAAGAGATACATCCTCGCGCTGGCAGGAGTCATTGCTCATGTCCATCACGAAGAGCTCAAGCTCCTGCTCAGGCGCAGGAACATCGGACATGACAATGACTGTCTTGGAGAAGGCCATCAACGACAGTTGCGTTCTGCAGAACAAAGTGATGTTCCAGCCAACCTCGTGTCATGATTCTCAAGCTCAGCTCTGCGAAAGTTTTACTTTATTTAGTTTTGACCGCTTTCTGTTGGCCCTGCCTAAACTCTACCATGCATAATTTTAGCATCGTGCGTTGCTGCATGAATGATGCTGATTCCCTTTTCCTGTGCCCAGGAGATCAATCCCCGCTGCCGACAGATGCTGGTCGACCACATTGTCTGGTGCGGCGAGGTCCTGGGAACATCAATCCGGACTCCATGTATCTTTGGGGATGTGGAAGGGTGCATTCCGGAGGGTGTGTACAACAAGACTGATTCCTTCATGGCCAAGTACAGGGACATTGAAAACTCAGACTTGTTGTCACACCAACACTGCTACACCCACAACAGGTATTGCCCAATCTTTGGACCAGAAGCCAACTCTGACTTTGAGACCGCAGGCCTCCCTTGTGTGGATATGTCGAGGGCTGGCAAAAGGCTGAAAGAGAATGGGCGGACTGCTTCAGTGTTCATTACCCATGCAAAACGACACTGCGAGAAGCGAACGCCAGTGATCCTACTAGAAAACGCGCAAGCAAGGTGTCTTTCAAAAAACATATATAATATACGGTTGTCCATGGTCCATTGTTTAAATTGTTGGTTCAATTCATGCATGACATGGGGACCCCATCGAATTCCCATCATCTGACTGACAGGAGCTACGATTGCAAATGATCAAGTTCCTGTACGGATCTCATTACACTTTGTACCCCTTCTTTGTGACCCCTGATGATATTGGGCACACAGCTGTCAGCAGGGCAAGAGTCTACATCATCATGGTCCACCGAGAACGTGTTGAGATGGTCATTGACCCGTACCCGCTCTACGAGAAAATCAAGGAAACTATTGCTCATCATATCCACACTAGGCCCAGGGACTACTTGATTGCATCCGAGAACGAGATCTCGATGGATGCGGCCGACGTTGCAAGAGTCAGGAAGAAACGAATGACAGTTCCTGGACAATTAATTAATGAATGTGAAAAACATCACTTTCTATCTCTTTCCAAGCTTTCATTGCACGCCAAACATTGTTTTAGTTCAGCTAGGTATAGCTAGGTTGTTTTTACAGATCAGAATCAGAAAGACTCTGAACCGCCTTCACTGAGGCTCCAAGCCTACAATCCAGCATCCTCACGTCACTTCTCCTGCAACGAGAGAAAGGAGTTGTGA